AAAATGCTAAATAAATACTTATATATTTAGTAGAGAATCAGTAATATTTGAAAGAGGATATTTTAATAATTAAAAACTAATGAAAATCACAAGCTTTCAAATTTAAATATCCATTAGGAGAGAATACTGCTTCAAAATTAAAAACAAAAAAATCAAGCAACAGTACTAATTGTAGACTAAAAATACCAAAACAGGTCATTTACCCTCTGTATCAAAGAGTATTTCACTAAAATAACAACTTTAGAAATACCTAAAATACTATTATAGACTTGTATTTCAAAAAAATAAGCTGGCATTTAAATGTTTCATGTTTCATAATCATGACTAATTTAGTATTTTGAAAATATATCTATGAAGGAAAATAGCAAGTTATTTCAATACTGCATATTTGAGTCACAAAATTTTCATCTGCAAACTAGCTAAATATAATCTACATTTTAAATGTTATCCCTATGAATAAAAACAAGCTTTAAATTCATGTTCAAACAGTAGACAACAATTGCTCATTAAGGAATAACACTGTGAGCTGCTGACCTGTGCAATTATTTAACTACCAGCATTCAATACAAAACAGACTGAAGTGTGTGCTTTCTTGATGACTATGATAACAGTACACATCTAAGCTCTTAAAGTGCCAACATGGCTCTAATCCTATATAATAAAGAGATAATATGCAAATTGACCATCACGCCCTTGCACAAGATGGCCACCCCTATGTGGTCACAAGATGGCTGCACCCATGTCATCACATGGCCACCACCACAAGATGGCCAGCAGGGGAGGGCAGTTGGGGGCGATCGGGCTGGCAGGGGAGCAGTTAGGCGTCAATCAGGCTGGCAGGGGAGTGGTTAGGGGGTGATCAGGCTGGCAGGCAAAAGTAGTTAGGGGCAATCAGGCAGCAGGCAGGCAAGCGGTTGGGAGCCAGCGGTCCCAGATTGTGAGAGGGATGTCCGACTGCTGGTTTAGGCCCGATCCCTGTGGGCCTAAACCAGGAGTAGGACATCCCCCAAGGGGTCCCAGATTGGAGAGGGTGCAGGCTGGGCTGAGGGACACACACACACACACACACACAGTGCACAAATTTTGTGCACTGGGCCTCTAGTTTAAGATAAATGACTAACTGAAGTGGAGTTAAACCATGAATTTATAAAAGCATTTTAGTTAAAATATCAGATGTTGGAGAAGAGGTGCATTATTCTTTTCTCTTCCATAAAAATGAGTAAAATAAGTAGTGGCTTCAACTTATTAGTTCTGGAAACAATAATTAGCACACCCCACAGAGATCCATTTGAAAAACTTTAGAATTTCTGCATTGTTGCTAATACCATGCCAGCAGGTATATCCTTTTCCTTTAGAAGACCTGGCAGATAGATAATTTTCATGCTAGAGAGATTCCCCATGAAAACTCATGGGCATGACATAAAAGATCCTAAGAACCTCAGCTTCCAATCCCGGCCCTGGTCCCTGAACCTTCCTCTCCATCTAACCTTGGCAGGTCTCTCACCTGTCCATACTGTTTCATGCCTCCCTCTCACCTTGCCTGTTCTACTTTTTTCCCCTAGAAGGCCCTCCCCAGGAGGAATTTATGGGAAATTGCTATAAATGCCTCAAAGCTCAGTTTCACGATCCTTCCCCTGTGATGCCTAAATTCCATGGCCCATCACCCCACCTCTGCAACAACACTGCATCTTCATCAAAACATAGCATTTTTTCCTTAAAATATTTTCTTCTTGCCCTAGTCGGTTTGGCTCAGTTGATAGAGATTCATCCTGGGGACTGAAGGGTCCCAGGTTTCATTCCGTTCAAGGGCACATGCCCGGGTTGCAGGCTCGATCCCCAGTAGGGGGCATGCGGGAGGCAGCTGATCAAATATTCTCTCTCATGATGTTTCTATCTCTCTCTCCTCCCTTCCTCTCTGAAATCAATAAAAATATATTTTTTAAAATTAAAAATATATATATATTTTTTCTTATTATTAGTCTCTGAGTTCTTAGTCATATTTGTATCCCCAGTGATAAACACAGGGCTCAATAAATATGGATTAAATCAATCAATCGTTGGCAAAATTCAACAAACACATACCTGGAGATCAAGTCTATATTAACTTGCTATTAAAAGAATGAGATATTTTGTGTGTTTACTATGAATAGTCAGGACATACGCTTTTCGTAAACACTCTTATTTAATCCTTAGGACACTCCTCTAAGAAAATATCAGAGTTCTCATTTATAGAGAGAAAACTCAGCTACAGGGGTCTGTGGCCTTCCCAAGTTTGTACAGCACTGTATTTGAGAGCATAAGTTAGCACCATCAATAACTTTGTGTAGGACCTTGGACCTCACCTCTCTGAGCCTCAGTTTCTAAAGCTGTACAACGTGCCCTTGGTGGTATAAGGCCCGAGAAATCATTTGGTCTGGCCCTGCCAAGGCATTAGGGGTGAGTTAATTAAATATTTGACCAAATACAGCAGGCTAATTTTTAAGTTAATAATTTTGCATGGCCCGTAAATGATGTTATAAATATCAAAATGGCCCTTGGCAGAGAAACGGTTCCCCATCCTTGTCCTAGTGGATAGTGGTGAAGATTAAATGGGGCATGGTGTACAAGGTGCCAAACGCTATCTCTGCTACATGGCAAGCTCTCAACCAAGACACACAAACTACTATTACTTCTTACCAAAACACACAAAATGATAGATGCTATTTTGTAAAAAGCAGCCAAAGGCCAAACAGTCATACTTGAATATTTTATGCTATAATATAGGCACACCTCACTTTATTGTGTTTCACTTACCTGTGTTTGACAGAATTTGCATTTTCTTACAAATTGAAGGTAAGTCCCTCAGCCAGCAAAAAGATTATGACTCATTGAAGGCTCAGATGATCAATAGCATTTTTTAGCAATAAAGTATTTTTGAATTAAGGTATGTAATGGGTTGTTTAGACAAAATGCTACTGCACACTTAATAGACTACAGTATAGCTTAAACATAACTTTTATATGCAGTGGGAAACCAAAAAATACGTGTGGCTTGCTTTATTGTGATAATTGATTTATTATAGTGGTCTGGATCCGAACCCACCATGTCTCCAAAGTATGCCTGTATTGGACTTAAAAAGGTATTAGATTGGCCTTTAACAAAATATTAGCATAGTTCTAAAATAATACATCATCTACAGAGTTAAAATTAACAGAAAAAAATATCTGGAAATTTTTAACGTAAAAAAAGGTCATTTATGAGACAATGTATTAAGCAAAGTAGAAATTATCCATTAGTTAGTAACCATCTCAGGAAAATAACTTCAAGTAATTTTAAAGAAATATATATCACACACATATAATATTGAACTTAATAGTCACTGGTAAAGTGTTTACAACCAGAAGATACCCTAATAAAATCTGGGGCATTGAACATAATTTGACATAAGAACAAACAACAATACATCATATGTATCCTATTACCTGGAAGAGGAGCGGTATTATTTACCAAGCACTGACATATATATGAGCACTGCACATCCTGTGACTAAGAACGACTGAGTGAGAGGATTACTAATGAAGATCCCAAGGTCCAGTCAGGAAATGAGCAAGCGAGAAGCCTGACCCTGAACCCAGAGCTTCAGACTGGAAGTCCGGAGTGTTCTTTCAACTACTTCCAGTTCCTGCTACATGGTTACCATATCACAATAAACAGTCAGAAATAAAAAGAACAAGGCAATTTTTACGTGTATCACAACTGCATAGAAAAGTGGGGCCTCATGGACAGCCTGAAAATTCAGTTAGGAAAAGGGTTCTAAAATGCAGAACATGGACAGTGCAGGTCTTAAAAGCGCCTACTGTAATATCAGACAATAAGAGAATTTTGAACTCATCGATTGTATCTTTAAAAGGCACTGCCCAAAATGTCTACCCCTGCGCCCTTAACTTATTGAGGCTCAGTCACCTTGGCCGCCGATCCTTCACCTCTGCGATGATGGCACCCCAACGTTGGTTTAAACCTGCCAGCTTGTCTTTTAAGAAGCTCCCATCTGTGGGGGAGAGTCTCTGGACAATCCCGTCCCCAGTTCTGTTTAGTGCTGCAAAACTGGGCTGGTGACTGCTGATCCCCTCTTCAAGTTCCTACAACAGAGTACAACCCAAGATGAATTCTGCCACTAAATTAAGATGTTCTGCCCAGGTTCCCAGGCATTAATTTAAGTTTTAGAGGAATAAAGTCCTGGGAGGATACATTATGTTCATGAAAAAGGCATTTAAAAACACTTTCATTAAATTTCAATAAACACACTAAACAAAACCCATTTTGAAATCTCACCCACGCTTGTGAATGTCATACAGTGAAACAGGATAGATAAATAGCAGCTGTTTACAACTGAAGCGTAAGCATCAATCAGATTTGATTAAATTGGATTGCTTATCTTTTTCCAAATATGTGCTTGAAAGCATCTCTCAAAAGGAAAAGTAAACCTATATGCCCTTATGTCCTACCACATATAGGTAAACTTCAATGTGCATTTTCTGGAGACATTGCTTCACTAAATTTTTAAGCAACAGATTTAAAGAGAATATTTTAAAGTTAAATTTAAGCACTCATCTATATCTCTAAAAATAAGAAAAATGCATTAACATGTATATGACAAAAATAAATGTATTTGTTAATGCCTCATGAACTTTCTACATAAAATACGTTCTTAAAATATAATAAAAGAGAAAATATTTTAACAATGGTAAATTGAAATTTTGCTTGCTTTTCGACCATATTTTTAAAGACCTACTGTTATCAGCAGAACTGATTTTGCTACTGTTATATTTTCCAAAACTGAATTAGACTTACATGAGCAGCTGCCCTGATGTAGGTCATGAATAATTTACTTTTATAATAATTATCAATAATACAAAGTGGAAATAAGATGCCTAAGTGTTAAGTACAGAAAACAGAGGTGAGGCATGCTGATATCTTTCTGCCTTAGTCTTGGGTACAAAATTTTACAAATGTTATTCTAAATATAATTTTTTTTAATTTTTAAAATATATTTTGACTGACTGCCTCCTGCATGCCCCACACCGGGGATCCAGCCTGCAACCCAGGCATGTTCCCTGACTGGGAATCGAACCATTCATAAGTCGACCCTCAATCACTGAGCCACACTGGCCGGGCATAAATATAATTTTTTTAATAAATTTTTTTTCATATTAGCCACTAAAGAGTATTTTTAATTAAATTTCATTGAAATTCTAATTAAAAATGTAAATGATGTTTCTTAAGCCTTTATGACCAAAAAACTAGATGTGGAACAAAAATTACAGGTTGTAATGCGCCTAAAAATTCATATATTTAGCTCTAACTTTCGAAATACATCTTAAATACCACATACTAAAAGAATATGGCCCAGCCGGCGTGGCTCAGTGGTTCAGCATCGACCTATGAATCAGGAGGTCACGGTTCGATGATTCCTGAGCAGGGCACATGCCAGGGTTTTGGGCTCAAATCCCCAGTTGGGGGCATGCAGGAGGCAGATGATCAATGATTCTCTCACATCATTGATGTTTCTATCTCTCTCCCCCTCTCCCTTCCTCTCTGAAATTAAAAAAAAAAAAAAGGAATATGGCACCTTCTTAGCAGATCTGCATCCTGTGATGGAGAGCACTCACCTGCTGGTGGACCCTGGCTTTCTCTAGGTCTAAGCCACCATCTGGAGCCAAGGTGTCAGCCAGTAACTCTTCAGCTTCAGTTGTCCACTGGGTGAGGTCATTAAGGTCACAGTGGAACTGTCTCCATTCTTCCATAGTCCTGTCAAAATAACTAGAGGACAAAAATTAACATAAAATAGGTTTCCAAAGTTTCCAGAACTGCTTTGAAGCAATTTTTCTAAACAAATTCAAATCTCATTTAAACAGAATGCTCCAAAATCAGCGAATTCACAGCTCACTGCTCTAGGATCAGTTTTCATAATGGATTACAGTTAATGATTCCTTTTAGAGAAACATGTATTGTACCAAGAAATCGGCACAAGCACCATCCTACCCCCCTTTCTCTCACACACATGCCTGCACACATACACCCACATACTAGGCAGCTTATTAACTGAAAAGACAGCCTTCTCCAGCTTGGAAAATCAAGATGGATTAGCTACAGGCAGTTAACCCACCCAACTTTAAACACTTAACATTTCAAATACCATGAAATGTCAAATATGATTAATTACTCTATTCTCTCCTATTCTCTTTGGAAAAAATTATGGTGTTTTACTTCTCAGGTAGAACAAAATGCCAAAACACTTCTAAATTTCCTTTCCCTCCCTTATTCTCTGTGTGATGGACTGAATTGTGACCCTAAAACTCATGTGTTGAAGCCCTAACCCCCAAAGTGACTATTTAGAGATAGGGCCTTCAAGGAAGGTAACTTTTAAAATGAGGTCATAAGGGTGGGGCCCTAATCCCACACAACTGGTGTCCTAATAAGAAGAGGAAGAGACATCACAGATCTTTTTTTGTGTCCGAGAGAGCAGAGAGAAAAGGCGATGAAGGACACAGGGAGAAGGTGGCCATCTGCAAGCCAGTAAGAGAGGCCTCAACACAAACTAACCCTGCTGGAACCTTGATCTTGGAGTTACAGACTCCAGAGCTGAGAGACAATAAATGTATGTTGAGTAAGCCACCCAACCTGTGGTCTTATTAAGGTAGCTCTGGCAGACTAACACCCTCTGTGCAATGACTAATCCACAGTACAGTATGGAAGTGCCTGCAAAGCCCAGGTTAGGCAATGAGACAAAGTACTACTGAGTTGCCCATTTAATCCTCTCTCCTTTAGAAATAAGATAAAGTCAAAGTCCAGTGCTAGTCGTATTTGGAACATATAAAATAAGTATGAAAAAGTTTAAGTTTTACTGCAGTCAGATTCTAAACACTTTCCTTTTGCCTTTTCATTTCCATAAGTGGTACTGAGAAAGCTTAGAAGATACCTCTGAGATTTTAATATTAATAAAATTTTACTTTCTATAATAAAAAGATATTACTATTTTAAAAAATAATAAAATGATCCCTGACATCTCTAACTCTAAAATAATGTTTATTTTTCCTTCTCCCATGAACATCATTTTGAAAATGTAGTTAATATTTGTTAAGTGCCCACAGGGAAGCAACATTCTATTGGGCATGACAAAATTAAGAGCACTTCAAACAAAATACTATGAGAAAATATTAAAACAATCTTTATTGCCTTTGGTAAAAATGTGCAGTCACTAAATAACAACCACAAATTTCAACTTTGGGGATGTTGCAATAATAAAGAGAAAATGTTGCTAGAAAGGCTGCTCCAAAGATCTAAAGACTCTGAGAATGTAAACAGTAAACCAAATAAATCTAAGCAGTATAGCCATAGATTAAATGAGAGAGAGAGAGAGAGAGAGAGAGAGAGAGAGAGATGTTCAACTAGGATTCACTAAGTCATCGCCTCCTTTTTGAATACGGTCAGTTCATATGGGAGGCAGTATGGAATTATGAAGGTCTATGGACTCCCAGAGAGTCAAAGGACGCAAAGTCCAAGTCTTAATCTAGAAACACACAAGTTTGCTTTCTCTAATATTGCAACTGGCATTGATATCTTTGCCCCAAAACATTCGCCACCTAAGTTCCTGGTCTCTGACAATGTTACCATTGCCTACCTGGGTCTCTAGGCTTGATACTGAAGAGTCAGTATATAGAACCACCCACCTACAGCCTTAACACAAAACATATTTAAAACAAAATTCAGGTGGCTTAGTTATTAAATGTTAATTTTAAATCAAACAAAATTGTTTTTAAATGATACATAAATATTTAACTAATATCACACAAAAAGTAATTTGCATGCATATAAACAAACCAAAATCACAAAGGAAAAAGACTCATAAGATATAATTATATAAAATTAAACCTATACATCAAAAAAATACTGTTAACAAAATTAGACGGCATATGAAAAGCTGGGACTAAGCAATAAACAAGAAATATGAATAGGTAATATCCTTAATGTAGAAAAAAGCTCTTACAAATTAATCAGTAAATAGTAATCCCATAATAGAAAAATGAGCAAAGACATGACCTAACAATTGACAGAAGAAATAACACTGGGGCCAATAAACATATGTAAGGATATTGAAATGTCGCTGATAAAGAAGTGAAAATCTATTGAGATGCAATCTTCACTATACAATTGGCAAAGGTCTTAAAAAACAACAACCAACCTTTCATTGTTAACAAGGGTTCAGTTAACTTTCACATATACTGTTGGCAGGAGTATAATAACCAATCTCATAATGCAATGCAGAGCCTTAAGATGTTATTACTTTTAACAATTTAATCTTTACCTAATAAACAAGTCTAATTAAATAGAAGTATGCATAAAGGTATACTTAAAACAATATTCTCTAAATGTATACAGCTGAATTTAAAAATCCATAAAGAAATATACCAAAAGGCCATTGAAAGTTATCTTTTCAAGGATTATATAATCACATAGAATATGTAGGCTAAAACAAAACAAAACAAAAAAGATGAAGACCATGATGCCTAATTTTTGTGTATATGTCTCTAAAGTTTTCCAATGTATTTTTCTGTGTTAACTTTCTCTTACATGGTACTTCATATTGGGCTATTTCACATCTTATTTGCCTATCTGCCTTTCTACTACATATCCAGTTACTGCCAACAATCTTCTCATTTTTTCCCCACCTATTAATAGGCCTGGTCAAAATCTAGAAAGAAGAAGGCTCAAAATCATTTTATTTAACAGGTTATTTTTAAAGAGTTTGTGGTTATATATGGATTCCAATTATCTGTACCTGTCTCTCACTCACATTAATCATCAACATGTTGGGAAAGTGAACATTAATGAAAACTCTTAAATTATTTTAAAGAAAATGGACACTATTTAGATATTAAAAATTAAAGATGCTTCCTTTAATTATTAAGATATTATGTTGCAAATGATCGCCTGTATGTAATCTCTTTCCTCTTTCTTTAAGGAACTACACTCATCACAATTTATTAAACAGGGCCTCTTCCAGGGATGTGAAACATACTTTCGTTAATCTTAATGTAATGTGACCTTTGTCATGGCTCATGAGCTTATAGGTTTTTTTAAATTAAATTTTAACTTAATTTATACATACCCTTTACGATCATTGTACATTCTATTAATTCTGTCCCATTTTGCATCCAGTTGAGTCAGTGTATCCCGGATCTGAATGACTTCAGGTACAGAAGCTTCGAGGATAACATCTGGTTGTTCCTCGTGAATGACTGCGATCTGCTCTCCAAGTTTGTCCAGTTGGTCTTTGATATTCTACAAATATATTGCCAAAACAGTCACAAAATCCAGCAAAGAGATAAAAAGAATGAAATCACAGATGAAAATGTATATGGTATAATACTTATTTATAGATAATGAGATATAATAATTTTTGCTAATTAAAACTGGAAACTTAAAAAAAAAATACCCTGTATTGACCAAAGTGTTAGGAACACTACATGATATCCCAATGGTGAGAAAAAAAATCCTAACAGATGTTCCATGTGGCATTTGTCCAGATATTTTAAAAATTCAATAATATTCTATAAAGGTAATGAAGTGTTTGAAGCTAAAATCATTTATATTTTCATATATATAATAATGCTAGTTTAAATGACAGAAATGAGCTGTCAATCAAAGCCATCAAATCTATCAGCAATTTTATTGTGACCTTATACCCTATATAATAAAAGGCTAATATGCAAATAGACCAAACAGTGGAATGACTGGTCACTATAATGCGCACTGACCACCAGGGGGAAGATGCTCAATGCAGGAACTGCCCCCTGGTGGTCAGTGCGCTCCCACAGGGGGAGCGCTACTCAGCCAGAAGCCCTGAGCTGGGCTCAAGACTGGCAAGTGCAGTGGCGGTGACAGGAGCCTCTCCCACCTTTGCAGCAGCACTAAGGATGTCCAAGGGCTCCCAAACTGCGAGAGGGAGCAGGCCGGGCTGAGGTAATCCATCTAAGTGCACGATTTTGTGCACTGGGCCTCTAGTATAAGTATAATCAGATTATATGAACAAGCTTTAATGATATTTAATAGTTTTGTGAGTTAACTGAAAACTTCTAGATCCCTAACTAACTTACAATCAACATGCCATCCCATACCCCAACCATTGGTCAATGTTAAATCATTATAGGTGGCAAGATTAATGCTGACATTTCATATCCAACTGGCAGTCTAGTTTATAAGAAAGCAATATGTTTTGTGCAGGTGTTTGATTAAAAAACATCTCTGATGATGGAAAGAAGTAACTGCATACTAACAATCCATATCTACTTTTAAAAAATAAATTTTTAGAATATCTCCTTGGTGAATACAGGAAAGGTTTATTATTCATACACATTATTAATTCCTTGGCCTAAGTTTTAAAAGCCACAGATCATCTAGGTAGGCAGAATGACAAATTCCTTGCATTATTTCTACATTAACTGCAGCTATTCCAATGCCCTGCCTGGAGATTTACCTTCAGAGCATCTTCCTGAAAAGAGAAGTCTTCATACACAGCAGTGCTTAGCTCTGGAGTATTAAGTGATAACTCAGCATCATCCATGGAAAGTAAAACCTTGTTAATTTCAACCAAATAATCTGGAGGGAGAAGTGATGATTTAATTCCGGAAGCTAGTTGGCTTGTTCTCCTCTGTTGAATAGGAATTGCCTGTAAAATCATTAAAAATAATAATGTACATCTCTTAAAATATCCCCACAATGAATTGAAAAAAGCACAAGACTATTTTGTGGAGAAGTACAATACTCGGAACCAAATTTTTTAAAAGTATGTTTTGATTTTTTATATTTTTGCCCTGCTTTGCTATATAAACCCTTAACAATCTCTATTCTAATTTTTGTTTGCAGCCCATTCTTAAACAGAAATGTTTCACTTTAAGACCAATGCCACCTAAACTCAATTAGCAAACAGGAAAGCATAACAGGTTCTTTCCGGAGTTACTGAGGACAGGAGAATATGCTGCAAATCATAAACTTCCGTATGAAATAAAACATTTTAATACCATTATTATTTCAGCCATTTTTAAAATCTCACAATTACATTAAAGACCTCAGGGCCTTACTGTTAAAAATGTAACTAAGTTAAATATGTATTTATAACATAACAAGAAATTCAATAGGGGTTTTGATCAAAATAACATACAGGTAATTCAATATATAATCTTAACCTTGGAGAACAATATTACAGAACATGAATAGCCTACATAAGACAATAATAGGTCCTCAGACAAAACTAAGCTAAACTGGGTGGACTACTTATCTGCCCTAATAATTCTATTTTCTGTGTCCTCTAATCAGAACTTTCAAAATAACAAAGGGGATGGGCCACTCACTAGTCCTTAAGGAGTTGAAGTATTTTACGTGTAGATGGGCACAATTTAATCAATGCTGGCTACTACTTGCAAATAGCCACAGTTCATCTACTCATGAATTAAGATAGTTTCATAGTTTCACTGTACTCCTACTTGAACTTCATCCTCTGTAAATTGAAAATTATAGTAAAATGATCACAAATACATGTTCACTGAGTTAGTGACCCTGAAAATGGTTACAATTCCTAAATGAAACCGAAACTCAAGACTAAAATCATGGAGTCAATAACAAGATGTTGAACCTAGAGTTCTGCATTTATTTGTAACAAGAACAGACCTCTGGGGAACACCAGCACATTTACAATGTGGCTGGGTATGTGGCCATTGGAAAGGGAGCTGGTAGTAAAGCTTTTCTAGAATATAAAGCATAGTTTATCAACTTCACAAATTTGGTTATTTGTAAACTAGAAATTTTTTTGACATGGGCAGGCCTCTCCATATGAACTATGGATCCAAAGGAGGAATCTACTCTAAAAGAAAAAGGTCCCTTTTAAGATTTAGTACATTATCAGAAATCCAACAGAGATGCCCAATAATAAGGTTTTATGTTCTTATTTTCTTTGACTCTTGCCCCACCTAAAAGTATAAACATGTTTAGCAATGCACACCAGAAAGGAGAAGGAGACAGTATCCCAAATGGTGTGTTTTGAGGTGTCCATGAATGCAACATCAAACATCTGAATGACAAGGGCTGAGTTATTTCAGTGGAACAGACACTCCCCATGACAATACCTTAGTTTTGTTGTATCTTGTGTGCAAAAGTAATAACTGCAAACGGATCTTTTCTTTTTTATTATCCTCCATAGGTTGATGTAACATTTGTTCTCCTCTTTGTAGAACTTCCTCAATTTGGGCTCTTTCCTCATCCATCTGAATGTTTAGAAAGAAAAAATTTACTCAAAAAAAAATGCATATAGGGTCACTTACCATCAGTTCCCAAAGAGGAAAACTAACCTACAAAATATAACTCAAGATATGTTCATCTAAATTATATACAACAAAAAGTCATGTTTTTCTTAAAATATTTCATATTTGATGTTAAAACAAAGAATGCTAGCTAGTTTAGCATTAAGATAACATTATTTTTAGTCTGAAAGTGTGATGTCTATTTTTTTAAGCATTGCATAAATCAATTATATTGACACATCAGAAAATCATTTTTGGACTGTTCTATCATGTTTGGCAGATATTTGGGTAAACAATATTGGTGTAAAACTATAATTAGCAGAGAATAAAAAGAAGAACATCATAGTTTGAAAAATTCTGAACCAACCTTTTCATCTTCATTACTGGATTCCAAGGGCTTTTCCACAACTTTTAACATATATTCTATGTCACTTTCTAATTTTTCCAAGTCAGAGAAAGGCACATCAGCTTCAAGAGCTTCAGTGGTGGCCAGAGATTGGTATGATAATGGTTCCTGGCCAATTAGCAGCTGTGGAAGGGAAATTATTCTTTAAAAAGATATTCTTCACTTGACTTTCTGTCATTAATCAGAGGGATGGAATGTCAGAAAAGGAATCAGCATTTATTTGAATTGACTTTAATTTCACTCATTTACAGCAATGATTTTACCAATTTGAGCTTCTCTGAATTACCCATTTTCTCCAACCTCATAGCAAGGGATGTGAAGTAGTGTGCAAATGGTTGTAGCTGCCTCGAATGCTGTTTGGAGGATTCTGAGACCACATGTGAGCACAGTAGGAAACAGTGCCATGATCCAAAAGCCATCCCTGCCATGGCCACAGACCGAGAGAAAGGCCACCACCTAGTACAGGTACGTCCCACAGAAAGTCTTCCGTTAGCTTTCGCCAGTAGACGTGCCCTTGGAGTGGGACAGCCAAACTTCAGCGAAGTCCATATTTCTCAAGGACAAATGCTCCATTCAAAGACAAATTTACTTTTAAAAATTTACTTTTAAAATTATTTACTTGTACCACATAGTTATCTATAATTTAGATGCATAATTTTATGAAAAATAGCCTTATATAAAAATATAATTACTCACATTGGCACTTTCGATGTGTTGAGACACCTTTTCAAAGTTTCTATTCAGCTCAGCTAATTTGGGTTCTACAAGTTCCCTGCACGAGCCTCCACGAGCATTCATCAAAACAACGGCTTGATCGCGAACATCCTCAACTTGCAGTCTGGCATCATCCAGCTCAGATAGTAAACGCTAATTGTAAGGAAACACACATTATCACGTGGGGAAAATCAAAACCAAACATGGGTGCGACATTAACTCAGTATTAAAGGCAGTTTAAATAAATGTCTGGGATTCCTAAGAAGAGATTTTAATACAATCAACTTGCGTAAGAGCTGTTCACATATTAAGACTCATTCAAGACTTCAGGTCCTCCCACCAAAAATACACATTGATGAATGGCAGAATGTGTGCACAGGCAACTTGGCACATTCCACAAGAGAAAGACTACAGCAAAACCTTCCACCCCCAGAAGTATGACTGCTCCTCTTTCGCTACCTTCACAATTTCTTCTTGTTTACTTGCTGGTTTTTTTTCAATCTCATCCAATAGGGCTTCAGCTTGATAAAGCCAGGTACTTATATGAGCAACGTTTCCATCAAATATTTCTAGCTGATTCTGATGGCTCTGGAAGGGAATTAATAAAGTGTTGATACAACCATATGAAATATTTAACATGATAATCTTCAAAGAGCTTTAAAAAGCCTTCAGAGAGCTCGTTATATGCTGAATTTAGAGGGTTTCCATCTTACTGAAAGTTTCCTTTTCAATCTCATTTTATTTGCCTCCCTTATTCTTCATTCTTACATTGCAAATAATCTCATTTGCCTCCTTGATCATATTTGTTTAAAACTCATTTAAGAAAGTAATAACATAAAAGAATGATTAAAATATGGACTGAATAAGCGTCTGCTGTTCAATAGACTAACATCTTAGAGGGCAGGTCCTGTGTCTTTTCACTGCGCTGTCACCAGCACTTAGTATCACATCTGGCACAGACCTCACTCAGTACTACTTCCTGAAGCAGGATATAAAATGTGATTGAGCAAATAAATCCAAAAACAAAATCAAACTGATTAAGCTGAATAAACTGGCAAAATTGCTGGCACTAAGGTGAGAATTTAGAACTTGATCAAAAAGGGGTGGAAAATACCACATGAACTCACTAATTTATGGATAATAAAGAACATTATAACATAATGAACAAAAAGATAGATACAGAGGCAGAGAAGCATCGAACAGACTGTCAAATTACAGCAGGAAGGCTGGGGAGTGTTGCGGTGGGGGAGGGGGGGGGTTAAGAGATCAATCGAAAGATTTATATGCATGCATATAAGCATAATCAATGGACACAAGACACTGGAGGGGTGGGGTAAGGGCATGTGCCGGGGGGTAAGGGGAGGCTAGGGGAAGGTCAATGGGGGAAAAAAGGAGACATATGTACTAGTATTTGTAATACTTTAAACAAGAAAATAAAATTTTTTAAAAAAGAAGGGTGGAGACATAGATAAAATTAACTTTTAGAAACTGTTTTATAGGATAAATGAAACTGTAAAAAATTTATAAAAAGTGTTTAGAAGACAAGGAAACAAATTATTAATCTATAACATAGAGAAACAGTTGACAAATAAAATGAGAACTAGTAATGACATGAGAAACGTTTTGGCAGTGTTCTGCATTTTAAGTAAGAAGAATTGATAAGCACCAGTCTTATTTGCCCCAATAAAGCAGGTAAATCAATATTCTAACAGGACTAGAAAGAGACTACTTGAAAAGAGAATTGGAAGGTACAGACTGAAAAATACAGAAGTAAGGGTTATGAGAATGTGGATATATATATATATATATTTAGTAAACATAGTCTATTACCCAAGAATTTCACATTTGTTAGTCAACATGTAACAACTTTTTCAGTATGTTCTTTTATTTCCATTTTTATATAGGAAAATTAAAGCGGATAATAAATTATGGGTAAACTCTGGACTTGAATCTCACAGATCACAATGTAAGCTCATGACCTTCAATGCTCTACACATTCTAACTGATTTAAATAAATGCTCAAACACACAATAATTTACTTTGTCTCTATCCATTATCTAGTAATTCTTTGAATTTGGGAATAGTCCTATATATGATATGTCAGAACAAAATACTAATTTCTACTAATATTTATTGGTAATAGAAGAGGAACATTAGATGGTAACTATATCCATGAAGTAATTAATAGTGTAGTGGTATAACCAAAGACTAACAACATATAACACTAAACAATTATCATAATCATCATAATCATCATACTAAAATCTAAAATTGGTTATTTTAGGCATAGTTATATAAGAGCACTACATGTTTTATGTCATATAATCATCACAAAAACTGTACGAGGTGTATGAGGTAGAAATAATAATAATGCCCATTTTACATATGAGAAAACTAAGACTTAGAAAGCATTTAAGTACCTTGACCAATGTCACCCAACTAGTCAAAGTTTTTACTTAGGCCATCAGATGCCAGAGCCTGTGCTCTTAACTAGTACACTATTATTAGAAATTAGAGGCCCAATGCAAGACATTTGTGAATGGGGGTGGGGTGGGAGAACGCCTCAGCCCGGCCTGTGCCCTTTAGCAGTCCAGGAGCCCTTGGGGGCTCCCACCACCGCCATCAGCCCGGCTTATGGCTGAGTGGCGCTCCCCTTGTGGTCATTGCACATCATAGTGACCAGTCGTTCCACTGTTCGGTCAATTTGCATATTAGCCTTTTACTATATAGGATTATTAATAATATGTAGCTTATGATAATTAAATATAACAATAAGTCATTAAAATGTAACAAATAAGTACATTTACTAAGATATTAAAGTATATACTTCCATATATATCACAAATGGTTATTACCTAATAGAAATATTTCAAACTCTTTCTAGCTATTGTCTTTTTAAAGAAAAAAATAAAATGTAATCTAATGAAATTAATTCACAAGCAAAACATTATTGTGACACAGAGAAAATAGAATTTGGAATTCTAATCAAAGTTGTATTCATTTTTTAAATATATTTTATTAATTTTTTACAGAGAGGAAGGCAGAGGGATAGAGAGTTAGAAACATCGATGAGAGAGAAACATCGATCAGCTGCCTCCTGCACACTCCCTACTGGGGATGTGCCCGCAACCAAGGTACATGCCCTTGACCAGAATCGAACCTGGGACACTTCAGTCCGCAGGCCGACGCTCTATCCACTGAGCCAAACCGGTCAGGGCTGTATTCATTTTTAAACAATTAAAGGAGAGAAGATTTCATCATTAACTTTTCCCAAAACATACCATTAAGGTATTGCACCAATCCTCAGTCCAGGTGCGCACTCTGCTCCACCCAGCGTTGAGGACACAGAGCCTCTCTTCTAAAACAGGCTCGCTGCCCTCGACCAAGTTCTGAAGGGCAGCACTACTCTCTGTAATGGTATTTAAATCAGCTTTTCTCTTTTCCAGATCCTTCAGAATATTCTAGAAAATAAAAATACCAAGACCCATTTGATCTTTCAGAACATGATAAAAGTTTATACAACCTTCCTTTAAAAAAAAAACAGAAAACTTTTTTTCACATACTCCCTAGAAAGTTTACAACTGCCAAAGGTTTACAAAACTCTATAACTTACTAACATGTGAGAGTTCTTAAGATGCTAATAAAAATTGAAACATTTACTTATGCACATAACAGGAAATGTATTAAATTCAGGTATGAAAAAGGTTACTTATTTATTTAAAGTATAAATTCCATGTATCATACACAAATACTAATTTATCTTCATCATAACTCCGGGTGTAAACAATCAATTTCACTTTCTGTAACTATAGCTGGTAAAGCAGAACTTCCCCAGAACTCAGAATTCTAAAACTCATAATGAATGTATCTCCTTGTTTCCTACAGGAGACAATGGAGTACTACAGTTACTTGCAAGGACTGCATCCTATAACTAAATGGCCTAACATATAAGCCAAAAACAAAATCAAACTGATTAAGCTGAATAAACTGGCAAAATTGCTGGCACTAAGGTGCCCGGCCTGTGCCCTTTAGCAGTCCAGGAGCCCTTGGGGGCTCCCACCACCGCCATCAGCCCGGCTTATGGCTGAGTTTACAATTGTCATAATACTCTGGATAGTATAATGACAACTTAGTTCTCACATTCATAAGATTCAATAGGTAAGGTGTATAGTCAGAGAGTTATAGAGAGAATACTGGATTCCAAAATTAAAACTACAATGTTCTTTCAATCATAAAGTGACATGTGCATATATAACCTACTGCTGCTGGCATCTTTTTAAACCAACATTAAAACAAATTCTTTAAAGGAGCACGAGTCTATATTTAATCTCACATGATTAAATCACATTTTGGAAAGCATAAAAATTTCAAATTTTTGTAAGATTGTCTTTTACAATCTTAATCTGAAAAATTAATTGAATTTATGTGTGTACAAAGATGAATGAATAAAAATTCATTCATCTTTGTACATTATACTTTGTCATTATACTATCCAGAGTATTATGACAATTGTAAGACCAAAACTTAGATGTTCTAGTTCTTATGGTTTACTTAAGATGAAATACTTTTGTAATGCTTTTACAAGAAATTATATGTTAGGCCATTTAGTTATAAGATGCAGTCCTTGCAAGTAACAGTAGTACTCCATTGTCTCCTGTACGAACCAAGGAGATACATTCATTATGAGTTTTAGAATTCTGAGTTCTGGGGTAGTTCTGCTTTACCAGCTATAGTTACCAGTGAGTCAAGGTTTGAACATTTACTTGGCCATGTCAATTACTGATATTTTTAAAGGAACTGAAATGGTTCTCTCAAGTGTCCTTCTCCAGCAGAGAGGGGGGAAAAAAATAGAATACCCACAGCCATGCTTCCTGAAGTTAAGACTTTCTGCATTCCTTCAGTGAGTATGTACTAACTGACTAGTGTAGTCTTTAAGAACTAGAAGAAAGAATTAACTATGAGTAATTAAGTTGAAACAGTACTCATGCTATCTATGGTGATAGATTTTATTGTAAAGAAAATGACCACATCTAAGATAATGACATTGAAGCCATGGAATAAAAACACTAAGTTCAGGAATAAAAATGCTATTTAAATTTTGCATTGAAAATAACTTTACCTATTTTTAAGTGCAAATATATTAAAATGTTGTAAATATGAATGTTTCTTAAATCTGAAAACACAACTTTGAAAAAATGGATGATTATGTTACATTGATGTTTCATTCGATTTACTCTAGTGAAGAGAATGTGCTGTGAATTCATGACTTGTATATGCCATCATCATTATTTCAAATCCGAAATAAGACTAAATGAAAATTTAAGAGTGAGTAGTTACAGAAAAAACAAGCTTATTTTTACAATCTTAATCTGAAAAATTAATTGAATTTATATGTGTACAAAGATGAATGAATAAAAATTAAATATGCAAAAATGTTATATGTACCAGCTATAAGCAATTAATAAAAAAGACAAAAGTCATGCTTTTTAAAGTATGTAAAATAAATAAGTATAAATTAACGTGTGTGTATGTGTGTGTGTGTGTGTGTGTGTGTGTGTGTGTGTGTCTATGAAGAAAATAACCAAAGCATTATAAAGGGATTTTAAAAATTTGGTGGGAAATGAGACATGCCATGTGACAATATAACAATGATGTCAAATCCTCTCGAAACAAATCTATAAATTTAAAGCAATTCAAACAAAATTTCTAACAAAATATATATTTTAAGAATTTGAAACTAACACTTCTAAAGTTTATGTGAGTGTATACAAAAAAAGGAACATTAAAAACAGGGAATCTATTAAGTATATATTCAAACATATTATAAAGCCATATAGTTATAAACAGCTAAAAAACATTTCAGTAAATCAGTAAACAAAGAAAATCAACAGCCAAAAGTAATAGATGAAGTTAGCATGTCAAATCAGTGGGGAAGGGATAATTACTCAGTAGATAGTGCTGACATAACTGGTTAACTACTTGGAAAAAGGTTAGAGCCTTACCTCATCATATACACCAAAATAAATTCCAGAAGGATTAAAGCATTAAAGATAAAAAGATGAAACTATAAAAGAGCTAGAAGAAAATGTAAGTAAATAATTACATAACCTTGGAGCAGAGTTGAACTTTCTAAGCACTATGGCATAAATAATGAAGAAAAAGATGATTTTATTATTTAAAAATATATAATAACAGTATTTTTAAAATATATACAGAACAGAAAGGGAACTACAGTGGCAAAAAATATTTTTGCAATAATAGACAACATACAAAACATTAATAATTTAATAGGTAAAGAGCTCTAAATCAAAAGACCTAACAGGTGAAAGAAAAATGGTCAGAATTACAATAAAAGGCAATTTTTTAAAAAAGAACTACAAATGACCTATAAACTGGTGGAAAATGTCCTAATTAACTAACCAAAATATGATATCTGCCTACCACTGTCAAAGTTGTGGTTAAAACAAGCAAGTAGGAATTCTCACATGGAGCTGGTAGGTACAATTTCTGAAGGACAATTTGATAATTTGTATAAGACTTTAAAATGGATATATCCCTAGACTCAACATTTTTAGGTCTAAGAATTTATCCTCAGAAAAAAAATATGAATACATTGTTATGATTTAGCTACAAGTATATTCATCACAGCATGTCTTTATTTTTTGTTAATCCTCACCCAAGGATACTTTTTTCCATTGCTTTTTAGAGAAAGTGGGAGGGAGGGAGGGAGGGAGAGAGAGAGAGAGAGAGAGAGAGAGAGAGAGAGAGAGAGAGAGAGAGAGAGAGAGAGAGAGAGAGAGAGAGAGAGAGAGAGAGAAACATCCATGTGAGAGAGACACATTGATTGGGTGCCTCCTGCATGTGCCTCAACTGTGGTGGGAATTGAACCTGCAATCCAGGTATGTGCCTTTGTCTGGGTATCGAACCTGCGACCCTTCAGTGCACAGGCTGATGCTCTAACCATTGAGCACACCAGACAGGGCATAGCATTTTTCATAATAGTGAAAACTGGTAATAAATCAAATGGACATGAGTAGAGAAATGGAACAATCAAAAATAAATTATGCAATTAAATATTAGGCCTGTCTCCAATATGTGATACAACATGTAGGTAAAAAAAATGTTAAAGATATAAGGTGTTTGTTTTTTTAAAAGAAAGTCATGAAACACTAAATATAAAAGAATTCTTTTCAAACACATGCTGTGCCTGTGCATGTCTATATGAGCCTGTAAAAAACTGAAAAGATAACAGGGTATTCTTTCATTATAGATGATTTTAGCTCCCCTCTTTTTTTTTTTACACTATAAAAATGTCATTCACTTAGCTTATATAACTTATGTTACTAATAAGAAAGCAAGGGCTTTCAAAATGTATTGTACAAAGAAGGTAATATTTCCTTGAAAATGCTAAACTTAACAAAAATAAAGTTTGGTGCCTTTGCTTCCCATTCACCCACAATACACCTATAAATGCCAACATTCTTCATTGCCTGCATATTTTTTTTTCCACTTCACACAGCCCAAGGCATAATTATGCTTTTCATCAGCTATTTTCTAAACGGAGAACACTCTCTCTAGTGCCTAATATCTTGACTTTCATTCAACTTTTCTCTTCACAGAGCATTCAAATTAAAGAGTTGCATCACCCACTATGATCTCTAATCATATCCTCTTCACGTCCCACAGGCCAGCATGAGTGTAGGATGCCATAACGGATCTTGTGACTTTATAGAAATTTTTGTCACAGTATTGATCATTATTTTCAGGATTTATCTCTAGTATACATGCCTCTTTCTTAGAAAATAAATTTGGGAAAATAAAATGCCTTGGTAAAACAAAACAATTTTGTATTCCACTCCTTCTTTGTCCACTTCAAAAGAGAACTGGCAAATCCACTCTCTAATCTCTATAATAGCAAAGTAACTAAAGAGCCAAAGAAAACTCTTGGATCTTTCATTGATTCTTTTGAAAATTCTGTCTCTGTGCTCTTTACATCGGTTTGCAATAGAAAAACTAGTAACTGGTACAAAAGTTATTGTAGAAGAATTAACAAATAAATTCAGCACAACACTGTGTGAGGAGTGAATGCTCAAAAAGAAATCACCAACTTATCACCAACTTTGAAAGTGTAACTATCATATTTTCAAGTGCCACATAAGCAGAACGCCTCTGAAGGCCCGTTGGTGACAGATCAGAGTTCAACATTTTTGGAATCAAGACAAAAGTAGCTTCTTGGAATAGTTGTTTTAAAAATATTCTTATTGTTTTTCTTAGGACAGAGAAGTAGAAAAAGTAATGGAAAAAGGGAAAGGCTATATTTAATATAAAATGGAGAAAAATAACATCCACCCAGATTGCCCTGAACAAAAATGCCACAGGTCACGCTGGCGTGATATTGGTGATCCCCCTGAACTATGACTCACTTTAGCCCAGGAAATCTCTGTATCCAAGTCTCCAAGCAAACCTTCCGAGTTGGATTTCTGTACCAGTTCCGTTTCAGTCACCGAAAGCCACTCTGAGAGAGAAGCAGCCTCTTTCTTCATTTTCCGGGCCAACTGGGACGCTCTTTCCAGATCCTGTTTTCCCTCCGTCACCTGAAAAGAGGGAAGCGAGAGAGGACTAAACATGGATAATAGCTGAGGATCCAAACTGACTCGGATTGAACCCCAAGAGATATACAACCTTTATCTCTAGCACCAAGAGTTACTCACTCTTGCATTTCTGCAAGGGGACACTATACAGTCGTGGTTAAGTGTCAGGCAACCCTGGGTTTTCATCTTAGCTCTGCCACTTCCTTCTTAAGGGACCTTGATAGAGGTATGAGCCTCAAAAGGTTGTTATGAGTTTTAAAGGAGAAAAATACATACACAAAGGACTTGGCCCAATCCTTGCAACAAAGTTAAGGGATCAGTAAGTAGTATCTTTTACTATTTTGAACAAAAGATGCTCAGAATCATCTCAATGAAGGACTCTGTTTAAAAAACATTATATTCTAGCAATTTGAGGGGAAATAGCACGATTTTCACAATCATGTTTTACAATTACCCACTTAATGAAAAATACAGTAAATGATTATGCAATAAAACCCTTTATAATTTTTTTTCTTAAAAAAAAGCAAAATGAACTGAATTAACATTTACCAGGCTCTTGATACATCTCACAAATGGTGTTAAGAAATCATACACGTTATGCAATAAAACCCACAACCACCTCTGTAATAGGACTATGACGAAGGTGACACAGCCATGGGATTAAGCCTGGTCTGAACCAGAAGCCTGAATTAGGGAACTGGTGTAAAAACCAGCAACACCATTCCCACGCATAAATTGCCCAGTCAATAAATAAATATAATGCTTCAAAAATAACTTCAGCTGTGTAATACCAAAATGATGCGCTGAGAAATGTGATCCGGTGGTACAGTGTATCAAAATGTATCAAAATCAACAACCCAATCTTGCAGAAGTGAACACCCAGGAAATATATGGACTGCCCATTTTCACTGGTTTGAAAGTGATAACATTTTACCTGGTTTTCTCTGGGCTCTTGTAGAAACTCAGTTACTATTTAATAACTCAAGAAGGATCTAAAATATAATCTAATGCAGCCTTTTAATATTGCCAAGTTTTCAGTTCCACACTGTTATTTTTTTTTACTTTCCTGGTTTCAAGACTGAGATTCTCAGTGAGAGAGGACACAGCCTATTGGATCCAGTCAGTAAATGACCCAAAACTCCCCCACCGATTCACTAAAATGCTCAAATTATAGCTGTTTCCTGAAAGGATTTTAAGTCCTGCTAGATTAATGTGACCTTCTTGTCACATATTTATTAGAACCCTGATGTTTGAACACTTTCAGTAGACTATTCAATTTAAATATCAATTTAAATTCAATGTTTAAAATTATGATTTTAAAAATCCTAAATGCTATTATTGGTATAAACCAATAACTTGAGTTTAAACAGGGACTATTATTTTTAAAGTTTACTTTTGAAATGTCAGTAGTCATTTAAAATATAAAGTGAATCTGGATTAAATATTAAAAATAAGCTTTAATAAATGCAACTAGTAATCACTGCAATATTAGCACAAACATTTAAAAATTAATAAAAATTCTTGGAATCACTGAAAACATTATTAATACCATAAAATTTAAACACGCATTCTCCCAAAAGTGAAATTTTAAAATGCACAAGAGAGAGAGACACACACACACACACACACAGAGAGAGACAGAGAGACACAGAGAGAGAGAGGTGGCGGTGCATTGCTGAACTCACCTGAGCACCCAGGTCATTGTAGAGCACCTTCAGAGAAGTCAGCTGCTCGTCCAGCCCCTTGGGGTTGTCGGTTTGCTGCTTCTGAACAATGTGCCTTCCTGTTTTGATTACTGTCTCCACTTCAAGCTTGACTTCACTTAGAGTTTTATAGAGTTTCTTAAAAAGAAAACAAGACAAATTGCACACATCACAGTGAAAACCCAGTAACTGGAATCATTTGAGAACATGGCTTATCCAGATTGACAGCTATGATTTTACTACGGAGATCAAAGGGCTTTATCTTTCCCCGATTTGGATTCAAAGGATGAGTAAAATGTCATCAAGTTTGCAATAACTTTTTTAAATCAGAGAAGAAAACAAACAAATGGCATTTATACTTGTTTAAAAAAAACACTCAGATATGTATTTTAAAAGTTTATGAACATTTTTCCAACATAAAATGTGAAAACATCAGGACTGAAAATTGGAATGTCTATCATTTTTAAAATTATGACTTTAAAAGTCCTAAATGCTATTATTAGAAAAAAAGCCAATTCTGACTATATTTCTGCCTATTGGAATTTGGAAGTATTAGCATTCTTATTTGTTTCCTTTCAATTCTGAAGTACCAAGTCTACTACATCGGTACATATTACTTATGTAATGAAAAGATATATGACAACTCAGCACGTCAAGATGAATATGACTTTAAGAAATTTTAGTCATCAAGTCAAATTCAGAGCTGTCTTCATCTTAGTTACCTTAAACTATTCTGTGCAGGTTCTCTTGTCTCCACTCATCGTGATCCTGACCTGAAACATCTCAGGTGGCTCTGTCACATAACAGACCACTGGGCCAAGTTACACACAGTCAAGAACGGTGCTTGCTTTGTTGACCTCTATTATCTCAGTAAATATATAAGTGTGTGCACACATGCACACACACACATGCAGAAATGTATCCTATTTATTCATTCTTCCACCCATTTCAGCTTTGAGTAATCAAACAACCTTTGGTATATAACAGACATGTGGAGATTACAGTTTTGATAAGCACAAAGAACTCATCCCAAACTTTTGTCTTAACAAGTGTCATCTTCAGCTTCTTCATGATTCTTCTCAAGCAGAACACTAATTCTAAGAGTGTGTATGCTTAGCCACATTTTAAAATATATAAGCAATTGAATTTTAAAATTCAAGACTGCAACAGCAATAAGGCCTTCTAAATATTTTTTTCAGATCTTAGGTTTAAACTTTGATTTAAAATTAATTTTCCTAGAGAATGATTTTTTTCTGTAATAATATTCCTGACATCTGTTCTAAGTATAATTTCTTCTTTCATATTTTAGATTGAGACTTTATAAATTAAAATTTAAAATTTAAGTATCCTTAAGAATCATTTTTTACATGGTAATATTCCTAACATCTATTCTAAGTATGGTTCTTCTAGCTACCTCAAATTTATCCTTTAAAGGTTAGTTTATTAGTCATATTCTGCCAAAACCTTTCCTAACATCATACTGTGATAATGAGTATTTCCTTTGTTTTTTAATCATATATATATATGTATGTATGTATGTATACATACATACATATATGTATGTATATTTATGCCTTTTCTCATTTTTTTAATTTCATGACACTGTAATAATTGATTTTACTCCCTCCTATCTATCTCCCCTATCTCTCCTAATGTCTTTGGAGGAAAAGACCACACTTCTTATTTTATAAACTGTTTTTCATCATTCACCCCCATTGTTAGCACACTGGAGACAAATACATACTGAATAAACCATGTACGTTATGCTAGATGAAGCCATATTTGTTGCTGGAAAACCCAGTGGGCCCATTAACCACCAGCGCCCTCACCATACACTTGTCCAGGTGGGTCTGGATGACATCAGGGTCCACGTCCTTCACATCCAGCACATGCAGTTCTGCTTTCACACCATCCAGCACACGCTTGCAGTCAAGCATGCGCTGTTCGAAGTTCGCAGGCTTCTGGAAAAGCTGGAACTTGGTGGACACCTCTCGAAGTTTCCTCTGTTTGAAGAAATGAAAATAATAAGCAATTGACATCAGAATGATAATCTCTCTCAACAGACAGTATTAGTATAACACATGTTGCTAAAAAGCTGTAAAAATAAAGCACCAATAAAAGCATTCCGTAAAGGAACTCAGTGAGGTTACCCAGGATCATACATCACTTGACATTCAGTGTGTCAGTCTTAGATATAATAAAAGGCTAAGCTGGCCTCGCTGAAATTAAAACTTCATTACGTTTCTCACCTATTTGAAAACTACAGGGAGGAACCTAGAACTCAGAGTATTTGTCATGAGCTCAGAGTGAAAGTCAATCTCACATCCACCACCAAGAACTGAGTGGTGCCCGATGTATTAGCTGCACAGAACTGACGGGGACGCTGCATTAGGGGGAAGACTTTTCAAGCTAACTTCTAAACCTAGCTTGCTATCTCTTCTCAACTCAACTATAGAATCACATTCGATATCTTCCACGCATGCAATAATCTGTTCCTGCAGCTCTGCCTGGGATGCAATGAACCTGCAATGTGTCGCTCGGCTCACTGTTCACATCAAAAAGAAGAACAAAGGCATCCAAGTAATCACTGCCAACACATCGCTCCCCCTCTCACCTGCAGGACATCCATCTGACTTCCTCCTCTAGCAGTCCTGCCTTCCGGGGAGGTCGGAGGCTGAGAGCGCGCATTTCTTCTCAACTCCTCCAGCGTTAGCTCATGGGCAGAGATCTCTGCTTGCATTTTCTACAAAGAGATTAGAAGGGGGGAAGATTGTATTTTTTTAAGTTCCATATAATCATATATTACATAAGAATATGCAGAGCCCTGTTCAAGTTTCAGTAAGTTTGCAGTATAATAATAAAAACGCAGACTACTGTATGTTGTGCACAAACTATGGTCTTTGCATTTGTCATTTCTAATGTTCACTGCTTATTTATAAAAAAGGAATTTTCCCAATTTCGTAGCTAAGAAAGCTATCGTTTACCAGCGTTTCACAGAAAGGCCAAGAGAACTCCAAAACCCACATGCTGCCCCAAAAGCAAGGTCACCCTTTCTCACTGACTGCTGGTTTGGGATGGCAGGAGGGGCTGGTTCTCTTGCAGGTGAGGAGGCAATTACACTTGCTCTTCTGACAACTCAAACACCTCAGATCCATGGCAGTACCTGAGCTTCCTGCGGAACTTGGAGGGCGTCTACCCTGTCCGTCAGGTAGGTTGTGAGCTGCTTGTCCAGCTCCCGTAAGCTCTCCTGCAAAACTTGAAGCATGTGATCAGTTTCCCGCAGGACGTGGAGTTGTTTTTCCAAAGAAATCTGCTTGCTCTCTGCCTACACAGGGGATAAAACCGAATCATTAGTCTCTCAGCACAAACATAAATAGCTGAATATAAGAAAACCCTATGATCTGATCACCAAGAAAAAAAATACAGGCTCTAGTTCAAGACTTTGGTGAGCAGTATGAATAAATAACTAGCAATGATAACAATGAAAAGGTCCTTCTGGTATCTTATATATCTTGCAGTGAGCTACTCGTTTTTACTTCTTTCTACATACAATGACAATATATAAAAATGTAAAGGTTTCCTACATAATATATTAAACAAAGAATTTGCCACTTATTATGAATTTAAGGTTTTTCAGGAATCAGCAATTAGCCTATCAACAAGGATATAAAATATAACAAACGTCTATCAGTAGAGTGAACATATAAAGCTTCTTCCAAAGTCTAAAACAAATTCCATGCACATGTGTGTAAACCACTACTTGCTACACTTTTGAATCAAGCTTGATTCTTTTCCGGATCTCAGCATCAACAGATATTATTTAATATGGATTTGAAAGCACTAATATCCATCTAACCCTCCTAGGGAAAAACAGTCTCATTTCTCTACTTACTGATATGAGCATGCACGTTGCAATTCATTCTGGATATGCATCTAAGACAGCTTGGCATTTTATCACAACAGCTTATGTCAAATTCTGCTGGCCTAGTATTTACTAGGACAATATGAGTTATTCTTATATACAGCTACAATATAACTCAAAGGAAATGAAATAGTTCATAAACAGAAACCATCTCAAAGATAGATTTTTTTTAATCATCAAGTTTTGCCTGCCTATAGAGCTAGGTTTACTCTTCCTCAGCTAATATTTCAAAGCCCACCAACACCACCGTAATGTTGGCTACCAACTTTTTCCCTTGGTACAAGTTCTTGAAGTCAGCTCCGTCTCACAAACACCTAGTCTGCACTCATGCACGTCCCAGTTCTTACCAGGTGACTCAATTCTTCATATCGACTGTTGAAAGCCTCCAGTTTCTCACTGATTATGTCATCGAGGATCCCTCCATCAATCAGAGTCTGGCCAAGTTCCCGAATCTGGGTGCGATTATCCGCTGGATGTCGCAAAACAGATTCTAGAGACTGGACAGGGAAGGAAGGGGAGAAATCATGCACTTACTGAGGCAAAATGTACCAAGGATCCAAAAGTGTCTGTTTTTTAAACAATTAATTTCATTTTCTACCCAAGAAAAAGACTAGGAATAATTAATTTTCAAAAATATCCATCATGGTATTAAACAATACATAAAATTGAGAAAGCATGAAAGATGATATATGACAATACAACTTCATAAAATAATTTTAGTAATTATTAATTACATGGGGAAATGTTCATGGTGTGATACAAAGTTTGAAATCAGAAAACAATACTATAAAGCAAAATTATCTCAAACTGTTGATTATGTTACAAAAAATAGGTACTCAGTTTTCTATAACATATTTAGAAAGCTAGGTACTATTTTGTATACACACTTTATATGTACATAAATCTAAGTAACCTTGGAGTTAAATTTTATTATTTCATATTACAGATGGGAAAACTGAAGTTCAGAAAGCTTAAGTACTTTGCCTACATACATACAATAAAAAGAAGAGCTAAGATTCCAACCTGACTCCTTATGATTTCAAAGTCTTTGATCCAGTTACTATAATGTACTACCTTCCAGTGTGTGTGTTAAAAAGTAATAACAATAATTAACAATAATTAACAATAATTAGAACCCTGGCCAGTGCCTCTCAGTGGTTAGAGGTCAGTTTGGGCACCGAAGGGTTGCGGTTCAATTCCTGGTCAGGGTACCTACCTGGGTTGCGGGTTCACTCCCCGCCCCCCTCCCCCTGGGGCTTGTGCAACAGGCAACCATTGATGTTTCTTTCTCTCTCTCTCTTTCTCTCCCCGCACATTGATGTTTCTTTCTCTCTCTCTCTCTTTCTCTCCCTCCACTTCCTTCCTTCCATTCTCTCTGAAAAGCAATGAAAAAAATATCCTCAGGTGAGGATTAACAAAAAAATAATAATAATAAGTAGGAAGAAATTTGCCAAAATGTTTAAAAGTATTTATCTTAGAGTTTGTTTTATACTTTTCTCCATTTTCCATATTTCTAGAATGTACATGTTTTAATTCTCATGTTTGGAAAATATTCATTTTTAAATTAAGCTTTTCATTGTTTTCATGCTCTTCACCTCTCACTCTGCTCCCTTATCTGAGAAGTGACATCTTTTCTCCAGCAGAGCATCCAGCTCCTGGGATTCAGGTACCACCTTTGACTTACTTCTGACCTTCAATCCAGTCATCCACTTAATTATCATGTGTCCTACAATTTCAAAAGCATATCTATCCTCTTCCTAGCCTCTTCCTCCTTTTTTTAAAAAGCAGCTCTATTGTCTTCATATTTTATTTCATTTAAGAAACAGTTATTAAGTCATCGTGAAAGAAAAATCAGGTGCATTGCTTGGCCTCAAGGAATTCAAGTTGAGCTCCTCGAACAGGATCCCACACTTCTCACTCGTCCCTCTCCACCCTGTCCTCCAACTTGTTACATCTGAAGATAACACGGTAGGAGCCATTGCAAACAGAGTCATTGCCATATCTTAGGAGCAAAAATAACTTTATGAAGAAACAAGAGAGCAATTGTCCTAATAACATAAGGCAGAGTTCTGTCCAGGGACTGGTAAAAAGAAGCAGGAAAATCACTCCAGTGCTTTCCTGGCGTCTACAATACACTAATTAACAAACAAGTACCCACTTGGGGACTGAGTTAGTGGGTCACCATTAATCTAAATATAAAGGATGGTACAAACACTTCAAGCAATAGAAGGCAATACTGAAAACTGCTGAGGGAGAAAATGCCTTGCTGGTGTAAGGCAGAATGTCCCTCATTTTAATACTCATTTGACTTCCCTACAAGAAATACCACAGAGGACGCAGATGCCCACCTCCAGGGCCTCGTTGATAGCGTCTGCCTTCTCCGGCAGGGCCTCTGTGCTCCTCATTCGCTCTTCCAGAGTGTTCAGCCAGGTGGTCTCAAGGTCCAAATAGTGAAGAAGTTCAATCCAACAAGACCATACCTCCTAGAGCAGGCAAGGAGGAAGGTGCATTAGACAAGCAGCCATTTAGAGATGCATGTATCTCCAGTGCTACCTATTCGCTCTACTCAACAATCACTGCATTTAGACAGGAGCATAGGCGGAGATCCAGAAACTGATGAAATTGGAATTTCAAATAAATGAAATAAAACCTCATTCTCTACTAAATCACATTGGACCAATCAGAAGGAGACAGGAGGCAAAGAGGAGCGAGCTGCTCTTTACAGGAAAATAAGTTCCAAGGAACTGGCTAAAAGTAAAAAATAAATTAATTAGTAGCAAAAAAAAAGGAATATATTATTAGTTTGCTTTTAAACTAGAAAGGTAAAAGCACTCATAATTGCAACACTTTTTAACAATTATTTAGAAAACTGGAATTCCGTGGGTCTATCCTATTCCAACTCAGAGCTAATGGACGTAACAATTTGCTGTATACTCTTTCCAACTGTTTTCTAAATTCACATGAATATGTCTCTATATGCAAAGAACCATATTTTGCCAAAATGGAGTTTTACTAACTGTATTAATGGCAATCACTATTCCCCATTCCTATGAGGGATTCCAGGGGGATAAATTTATACCCCCCACTTCCGAGGAGAAAATTATGGGAGGAACAGCCCCTTCCCCACAGAAGAGGAGCTTATTTGACTGATAAGTGTAGGGAAGAGTTCCACACGGAGCCTCCTGGTTGGTTCTCTTTTACAGAAGAGGAGCTTATTTGACTGATAAGTGTAGGGAAAAGAGTTCCACGTGAACCTCCCGGTTGGTTCTCTTTCGGATCCACTGACTGAGAGAGGCATGTTCTAGCCTGCACTCCGAATGAGTTGTGTTTACCGGGTCAGGGGGCAGCGACTTTTTCCATTAAAGGCCAAACAGTAAATATTGTAAGTTTCACAAGCTAGTCTGGTCCCTGCCACAGATTCTTCTGTTTATTTTGTGTGTGTTTTTGTTTGTTGTTAATAATCCTTTAAAAATGAAAAACATACAAACCATTGTTAGCTCACAGGCCATAGTGGAAGAGACACAAACCAGATTTGACCCTCAGGCTGCAATGTGCCAGCCCTTGAATAAGATTAAAAGAGAAACAGTGTGTCTGGTCCCCCAAATTTCTACAGGTGGAAAGCAGCAGAGACATCTACTCGGCTGCAAGCAGAGCCCAATTTCTTATGGGAAAGGAAAAATGAGCAGCATTCCCAGGAAACAGAACTGGTCCCCAATCAAGTACCAGTCCTGCCCCTGGCGTAGGGGCCCTGGCCAGATTTCAGAGTGACTATTACTACAATTCAGTCACTATTAACAGTGACTGCTCTTTACCTCCCACTGCCCCCACTTTTTTGAATGGAGTGTCCGCTGAGGTTTTCCTATGTCTCGCTCACCTTTGAATGTGAGTGTATGGGGCGTGATAACCTATCTTTTTAATGGGCAAGTCTCCAGATTGAGCGGTGCCACACCTGCACCTAAAGAAATTGCCCTGAGAGTCACAGTTGTTCAGACCTGATGCTGTACTGGACACGCCTTGGGGAGTCCCTGGGACAGCGTAAATGCATTTTGCATGTGGGAGGACTGTCACTAATGTATGACCAGAGGGTGGACTACAGTGGATTAACGATGGCCACAGTTTTTTTGCCCTTACTCTCATTAAGTGGTGAAATTCTTTTCTCCTGCCCTGGAACGTGGGTTGGCCTTGTGACTTGCTTAGACCAAAAGAATGTTACAGATGTGACACTGTGTCGAATTGCAGACCAAGACTTTAAGAGGACTGGGAGCTTCTGCTTTCTCCCTCTGAAAAGCCAGCTGCCATGCCGTAGAGAAGCTGTGAAACTGGAAGACCACGTGGAGAGAGGCCTGGGGGATGAGAGGCCATTGTGATGTCCCCGCTGAGCCCCCAGTCGAATGCAGTCACCTGAGTGAGCTAGTCATGGACCACATGGAGCAGAAAGCCACCCCACTGAGCCACCTTAACCACAGAACCATGAGAAATAACGAATGGCTGTTTCAAAAGTCATTATGTTTTGGGGAGATTGTTGCATAGCAATTGATAACTGAGACATAAGTGGGTGTATATATTACCAATATAAAAACATGGTTGGGAAGAATATACACCAACTTCTGGGTGATGATTACTTCAAGAGAGAGATGAGATGGGATGGAAAAGAAGAAAACAGGTTCCACAATACTAATGTACTTTATTTTAAAAACAAGACCTGGGAAAATATGGCAAAAAGTTAACATTAGTTATAGTCAAAAGATGTATTAATAGTATTACCTCTACTCTTCTGTAAGTCTGAACTAGTTCCCAATTTCATATGTTTTTAAGGAGCCTAAAAATAATCCAGATGATACATTTGGATTCCTCTAAGAAGGGCATTCTCACTCTAATTTAGAAATTTGGTCTGTTTCTGCCCAATATTCCTTGGTAATTGCTGACATAATTTTAAAATAATTTCCACTTTTAAACCCCTTTTTTCTTCTTTTTCATTTACCATTTTTAAAATATCAAGGCCTTATCTTTTCTCTTTTACCTATATCTCTTTTTTTTTCATTTTCCTTCTCTTCTCTCAAAGTAATTCTCTCAAACTAATTTCAAAGTAACTATAAAAGTAATTCTCAAAGCAATTCCAAACCCTCATTCCTTATTATAAAATTGTCACCTCTAGATCATAAAGACAGCTTAAAGAAATGATACAATATATGGTGGTCTTTTGTTAGCCTGGGATAATTTGGGGACTCCGTTCATTATGTAGCCCAGGCGGCATGGCTCAGTGGTTGAGCATCGACCTATGAACCAGGAGGTTACCGTTCAATTCCAGGTAAGGGCATTGTGGGCTCAATCCCCAGTGTGGGGCATGCAGGAGGCAGCGATTGATTATTCTCTCTCATCACTGATGTTTCCATCTCTCTCTCTCTCTCTCTCTCTCTCTCTCTCTCTCTCTCTCTCTCTCTCTCTCTCTCTCTCTCTCTCTCTCTCTCTCTCTCTCTCTTCTGCTCTGAAATCAATAAAAAAATCATTTAATTAAAAAAATTATATAAATAGAGGGGGGGGGAGACTTAGTTGTTATTTTGCTCTCTCTCTCCCTTCTGCTCTGAAATCAATAAAAAAATCTTTTAATTAAAAAAATTATATAAATAGGGGGGGGGAGACTTAGTTGTTATTTTAGCTAGAAATAAAAGGAAAAGAAAAAAGAGCAAAATCAAGGGTGGTTATGACAGAGAAGAAAACATGCATAAGACTGTAGTGAAGTTCAATTCCAAGATCATTCACTAGGACTTAAGATTACGCATGCATAACACTATATGTTCTGCTTACAGAATTTTAATTTCTCAAATGAGTAACCTCCTGTATTTTACATTAGACAATATGTTAATATTAAAGAGTGAGGTTTTGTTTGAGTTGTAGCTTTCTTATTAACTAGTCTCAATTATCCATGTTTATCTTTACCACAAAATGGTTTCAGAACAAGCAAGTAATGGTTGAGTTCAGTTTAAATATTATAGTTGTGCTGTTTACCATTTTAGGATATACTTCAATAGGATCATTTATTTGAGGGTGAGCTGAATTTAAATTGAAGTGTTCTTAAACTATTTTCAATGACATAAAAGTCACACTAATATAGAAACAAATAAGAAAGAATTCAATTTTATTTTAAATAAAAAAACAAAACTCATAGAATCATCTGCATCTTAAACCCAATGCCCAGTTAATTACCAGCATATTCAAGTTCTGTTTCCTTTCAGGTGACTCTAACTGTAGATACGACTCTAAATAAAAAAATTTTAAAACCTAAATTCCTGTCTGTGCACTAACCAGAAAAAAAAAAGAGAGAGATGTTCACAGTACATTGTTCTAGAATCTATAGAATCTGCCTATAGATCACCTGTGACATGAAAAACTTGATTTCACATATAAAAAAATGAAGTCTAAAGATGTTAAATGACTTTCCCAAGAACCTTAATTGAGGGCAGATCTTGGTCTCCTATATTTTTTATCCCTGCTTCGTTGTATTAACCTATTAACCAAGAACTATTTTCCTTTATGATCCTGTACTTGGAAAAAAATGAAGTTTTTCCAAGAAATGGAAATGGTCAGTACATTACAAAGTTTTAATCTCAGAAACACATCCCTGAACAAATAGCATACCTCGAGCGTGTGGCACTTTCCTCGAATTCTGTTGCAAAGAAGCTGGTAATTCTCCAGCACAACATTCAGCTCAGATGTCAACTCCTGGCCACCAGAGGGCACCTTTGCAGCCATTAACTTGATGTTGTCCTTCAGAATCTTCACTCTCACCTCCTTCTGCAGCACATCCTCTTTCGCCCTCTGTTCCAAGGAAGGAGAGAGATGAAAATTGTCCCCCTTTCTCACTAACCAATGTCTTTCTTTTTCCTAAAATAACTAAACCAAAATTAAAACGTCTACATGATTTCAACTACCTAATTTAGAACACTATTTAGGTAATCACTACAGAGTGCTTTTTGAAAAAATAAAATAATAAAATAAAATACTAACTATAAAATCTCACTCATTATATGCCTCAGTGAATACAGTCCCACACAAACATTTTCATTTAAATAACCGGCAGGCAACGTTAGCACCTAAGTCATCCTTAAGTTATGTTTACTGACGTTAAATATTTTCAAAGTCTGGGCCCATGATAAGAATCTAAGTGAATTAATTTTAATTAGCCACTAGAGTTCTGAACATATTAGACTGAAATAAATAAATGGTCATAAAAGTTGAGATGCACCATGGTAGAGATGTCCTTTAAAAATTATGCAAATGTATTTCTCTCTCTGTGACTTCGGTATATCTAGCCTTCTGATACTGAACAGCATTTCCAAGATGATAAAGTTATACTAGGAAGATCTGATCTAGAAATAGTTCTTTCCTGACTCCCACTCTGCACTTAGGATAAGTCTCACTTTCAGGAAAATCAACCAAAAACAGCTTTATACTTTCTTGTTCAGCTTTCTTTACTTCTTAATGGTTTTAACTTTCCTAGGTTGGATAAAATAGTTAAGAGCAGAGGTTTTTAAAATTCAAATGATTGTTTGGAAAAATAAAAATAAATAGAATGTTGCCCAATCGAGGGTGTTATATCTCATTTTTCTAAACTCTCATCCCTAGAGACTTAAATAAACCACAAAACTACAAAGCCAGTACTGTAAAGAAAATAAATGAAATAAGATGGTTCTTAACATGGTAGGCTGCCTTTAAAATACCTTATATACTGAATATTTTTAAAGCTTTAAAAAAAGAAAAAGCTACACTAGCCCGGCTGGTGTTGCCCAATGGTTGGGTACTGACCAATGAACCAAAAGATCAAGGTTCGATTCTCAATCAGGTCACATGCCTGGGTTGTGGGCTCGATCCTCAGTGTGGGGCATGCAGGAGGCAGCCGATCAATGGTTCTCTCTCATCATTGATGTTTTTTTCTCTTTCCCTCCCCCTTCCTCTCTGAAATCAATAAAATTTTTTTTAAAAAACGCTACACTAAGAAAGATGTTTCTGTGAAAATACAAGTACAATAAAAGTCCTTTGTCATATATAACAATGCAGGATGAAATCTAATCCTTTTTTAAAATATATTTTTATTGATTTCAGAGAGGGAGAGATAGAAACATCAATAATGAGAGAGAATTATTGATTCGCCGCCTCCTGCAAGTCCCCTACTGGGGATCAAGCCTGCAACCTGGGCATGTGCCCTGACCTGGAACTGAACTGTGACCTCCTGGTTCACAGGTTGACACTCAACCACTGAGTCACACAGGCTGGGCAAAATCTAATACTTTTTAAAAAATATCTGCAGAGATTTTTTCTTTAGTTACACTTTTAGGCAAGTTAACTTTGGCCTAAAACATTCAATGTGTTGCTTAATCTTATTTTTTAAAATAGCCTTTAATCACTATCTCCTTTGGCTTGGACACTGAAAGAGACTTGAAGTGAGGTTGGAAATTTGGGAATGATGCGCAGTTCTTTTATCATGTTTTTTAAAAAATAGTGTTCAAGACTACTGACAGAGGTATATAAGTTCACGGAAAATATATCCTGTGGCCCCAGCCTATATTAAATCCCTTGACAATGTTCCTACTGCAACTCTACCTGCTCTAACAAAACGCTTATATACATGTGTGCCCCATTGTAGTAACTGGAAGAACACATCTGATGAAATAAGGATAAACCCCAAGCAAACTGGAAAGTCTTTCTTGTTCCTAATGGGAAAAAAATTATTCCTGAAAATTTTTGGAAATAGTTGTGATGGTTGCACAACACTGTGGATGTGATTGATGCCATTGAATTTTTTTAATTCATTCTCTGTGATTCCCCAAGATTCTAATATAAGAAAACATCTCAGGGCCCTAATGGATTCAACTCATGGGCCACATTGAACTTCCTTCCCTTACTAGAATCACAGCAGCTTCCCTTCCTTTTTTAAAAAAATTTGAAATCCTCTTATGAAAGATTATGTACCATTGATCCTTGAACAACACAACGGATCAAAATTCATGAATAGCTTTTGACTCCCCCAAAACTTAACTACAAAGAGCCTACTGTTGACCAATAACATAAACAGCCTTACGAATAACATAGTCAATGAACACATATTTTGTATGTTATATGTAAGTTAGAGAAAAAGAAGTTATGAAGAAAACCATAGGAAAGAGAAAATACATTTACAGTATTTATTTTTTTAAATCTGTGTATAAATGGACCCCTACAGTTCAAACCTCTGTTGTTCAAGGGTCAATTGCACAATCATGGTTTATAGCCAGATGGATGATTGTTTGTGTGATTGACTGACTTTAAAGGGAGAGATAAAGCCTGCTGACATTGACTGTCCCAGCCTCACCTTCATTTCTTCCACAGCACTCTCAAGTTCTTCCGGTGACTTGTATTCAAAATCTCTCTCCAGGTATTCTTCTTCTGCCTGGGTCATCCATTCCTGCATCTCTGACAAGTCTTTCTTCAGATTCACCACTTTTTCCTGTCTTTCAGACAACCTATTTTTGTGAATAGAAATCTAGAAAAGAAAAGCCATTTAGCCAAATAAACAAGTGTTAATACAGTAAATGTCAAGTTTCTAATAGCTAAAGACACAGTGGTAACTCTCCACAAAGACCCTGCCGGTTAAAATTCAGATAAAAGCCTTTACACACTTTCTGCTGATGCTGTGAAAATATAAGCAATAATGAAAACAATAATGATATCTGTGTTTCTAGTTCACACTTTGGATATTAATCTAATCTGGACATATCTATAATAATAAAAGCATAATATGCTACTTAGACCACACATCCTTCCGGACATCCTTCCAGACAACCTTCCAGACAAAGCCAGGCTGCGAGGGAAGCCCAGGTCCCAGATGCCAGAGGGAAGCCAGTGCCAGCAGCCAGGAGAAGGAAGGCCTACTCTTGCACGAATTTCGTGCATCGGGCCTCTAGTCTATTATAATTTTAAAAATGCATAACTTCCCAAATGAAGGAACCTAACCTACAGCAATAAAAGCACATGTTACAAGAAATTTTACTGTAGCATTGTTTATTGTAGGAAAAAAACCTAAATGCAACCAAAATATCCATTTTCTCCTTTTTAACAAGATTCGCTGTGCCGAAACTGGTTTGGCTCAGTGGATAGAGCGTCGGCCTGCGGACTGAAAGGTCCCAGGTTCGATTCCGGTCAAGGACATGTACCTGGGTTGCGGGCACATCACCAGTGGGAGATGTGCAGGAGGCAGCTGATGGATGTTTCTCTCTCATCGATGTTTCTCTCTGTCTCTCTCCCTTCCTCTCTATAAAAAAATCAATAAAATATATTTTTTTAAAAAAGATTCGCTGTAATGATTTCAATTTTAAAAGCATAGAAGAGGAGGCTGTTATTAACGATGTTCATAAAATACTGCTCTAGAAAATTTTGGTTTTGATAATTTACTATACTTGTATATTCCACAGAGACACAAAAATGTTACATGAGAAAATAGGTGTTTTTTCTCAACCTGGTTCAATAACTTCAACATTTCAGAGAAACCTAAAATACTTTCTAAGAGCTCCTCCCTCTTACTGCAAACTCACATTTACTAGGGGAGAGATACCGTCCACAGAGACCATGCTCACTCGCTATTCACCCTCCCCCTCCAGTTCAATCTCACGGCAGCGTCACCTGCCAGGGCTGCTTGGCTGCACAGCTGATAGTGACCAAAGGCCAGGACAGGAATAGATGGCTCTCCCGAGAGTAAGGAGCATGGCTTAGTGGCTTTCCTGTCTCCACTCTCCAACCGGATCACAGTCATAAAAATAGAAAGGGGTCAAACAGGAGCTTTGATCTCACGCCAGTCTGGTACTCTAAGAGCCTGGCCAAGGCCTGGCTGATCAAGAGTTTAACCTGATCAGCTACACACACACACACACACACACACACACACACACTTCTTGGGCCCCACTTCCAAAACATTCTCTTTGCTAGTTTCTGGACACTAGTTAGTTATATAATTTTTATGTTTCCATAAAGAAATGCAAAAAAATAAATAAATAAAGACACTAGCAAACTTTTCAGAAAAAGCAAAGCTCAAAATTGTAATTAACTCCCCTGAAATTATAAATTTTCTAATATCTGGCATTATAGTGTGCTTCCTTTCATGAGATCCTGGCTAGGTAGAATAGATGGCATGGACTGGTTTTTGCTTGTTGATTGATTTCATATGCCTGTCCCTTCTTAGCAAAATAAAAATTTGGCAGCATTATGTTTATCTCAAACTTCTTCAGCCTTTTTACGACTCAATGAAATGCAATAGTCTGGAGGGTTGCCTCCTGCTGAGGACACTGAACCATGTCCCCTACATTCAGTCCCATGTTTTGAACCAGCAATAATTCACAACTAATTCCATATTGTCATATGTGTGCATGTATATATGTGGATAGGGAAATAGAGACAGACAGATATAGATGTGAACATCTATGTCTATGTCTGTCTCTATGTATCCATCACCTTCCTGGCTTCTCACTGCCACTTCGAAACCATTTTCCTTATTTACTACCCCAAAAACCCCATTCAAGCATATAGCATCAGATTATAGCACATTTAGAGAAATCTGAATTTGGCTAAATTATTAGATGACTAAGTGACTCGACGCGTGAAACTGTGTGAGACCTGGAACCCCGCCCGCACCGGGTCCGTCCCGGAGTGCCACAGCCCCGCAGGGCCGGCTGCCCAGGGC